AGCTCATGATCCGCCAGCCTCCTGCAGTTCGACGGGTCTGGTTCCAGGCCATCTAGCACATAGAAGCAGTAGTTCCGGTATTGATGCTCAGGGAGTTGCAGCTTCTTGAGCACGCACAGTATGATATCATCAGCTGACCTGCAAAGTCTGATGTTCAATACTTTTGTTTGTCCGCCAGTATAGATTATTCGAATAACAGGCGAGTTAGGGGGAAGAGACCCCATTGTCAGTCCATCAATGCTAGGGTTTTGTCTTAAATGGCTCTTCTGAGCCTCATTGGGGGATGCTGGGTTCCGACTGGCCCCGGAACTACCAGAGGAGTTGTGACCGAAGTAGCCTTGCCCTTGTTCCTTGCGAGCGCTCTCCATCGGGCTAGCAACATAACGTTGGGCCCGCAGGGGCGATCCTGGCCGCGACGGTGGTTTGTAGCCATGGGCATTATCAGCGGTATGAGAGAATCGGCGATTATTCAAGGTCGGTTGGCGGCCAATTGAGGGACGACTAGGTTGTGATGAGGCGGGTGTATATGCTGACTCAAGCGCAGCCAATTGATCCTGCATCGGATCAGTCAAAGCCCCTAATACACAATTGATTCATAGCAACGTACTATGTTCCTTTGTTTTCGGTTGGCAACCGATTTGTTCCTGAGCTGCTTGATAGCGACGAAAATGCGTACCCGATCACCGACTTTCTTAATACCCATTTCTTGCAGAATCTTCTGGTCACACTCGATAAGATTGTTGCCATTGAAATTGTTCGCTGTATGCTGTCAGCGTCTGTTTATAGCGCGCAGCTGTAACATCAGTGGGATTCAGAAACTACCTTTGAACAAGGATTCATATTGACCACACTTGATGCTATGCAACCATGTTATGACCTGCTTCTCGTCCCAGGACCTACCGAAGTGTCAGCTCCCCGCAATACCCTTCTCTCGACAACACATGGACAAACGTACCTGACTGCCTCAAGTCCATCCTGTGCCTCCGAGAATTCCGACTCCGTGGGGCTCGTGAATGACATTTCATCTTGATGCGTTGTAAAGATTGCTTTGTGGGATGGTCCAGGGTGGTAAGATGTCGTTGGTGTTTGGGATGTGGACATCCCCAGTGGAGAAGAATACGTAGTCTTTGCCAACATGGTTGAAGGGGGAAGCAACCTTAAGCGCCTCGTCCCAATCGCCCGGCGATAACTTTAGATAACGTCTGCAGGCAAACTGCCACCCCTTATCCTTTCCCCCTGTGTAACTGGCAAGAAATTGGTTCGTGCGGCGTTGTGGAAACGTCAAGTCCCAACAGACGTCCAGAATAGTCTAATGCATGATACAGAGTAGCCTGCAGGATTCCAGGTACATATTAGCTCCATCAAATTCCTAAAAGGGGTATGACAGACGAAGATATGGATAAAGAGAGAGCACAGATTTTCCAAATATAGAAGAAAACGAGATGAGGGTCCAAAACACGGGAATTGGGTTGGTTCGTACCGATCAAGGTCAATGCTGAAGGTCAACACAACAACGACTGCACCGTCAATCGCAACCAAACCCACGGGATCAACTCTCTCATCCAGGCCTACGTTCGAGTGCAATTTGTGGAAGGTTCACGATCGGGGGGCGGGTGTTATCAGCGATAACGCTCCCACTAGCGGAGGGAGGATAAGAGGGGACGAAAAGGTGAGATGAGGTGGGATAGCGCTCGAGGGTCGGAGAAGGGCGATGGACAGTAACCGGTGATCCCTTTGGGAACCAGATGACGAAGGGGACGTGGTGGAGAGGGAGGAACGCAACCACGTTGTCGTGCTCTTCTCACCTTAAAGTTTTTGCTGGTATCTAAAATTCGTCTAGTCTCGTTACAGACCTGGTAGTATCTGGCTGGGCCCGATCGGAGGGGGGAAATGATGGGCTCCTGCGACCTGCGTAGTGTGTGGAATCTCCTCAAGGCTCAAACACGCCGCGCCGGATGATAGGCTGTCAGGAGGGCCCGATCTGAAACAATGGGCCATCAGCTGCTCTCTTTCCGAGTCTGGAGCCTTAGGCGTCTTGCCCTTTCCTGGTTTAGCGGCGGCATCGAACTCATGCACTATTCTTAGGCGGTTGGCGCCGTCGCTTCCACTCTGGTTCCATGGTTTCTGTGACCTTCAATCGGTGAATAGCCGAGCAATTGCTTAATTGTTTTTCTTTCATTATTATTTCTTTTTGTGTACCCCTTTTGGTCGAAACTAATGATGTTATAAGTCTGGCTGCTTCTTCCAATATTCGTCAAGTACCCCATACAGGCAGGCCATTCATCGATTGATTGACTGATTACGACAAAATCCCATACATCGTTAGATAAGAACATGGGGTTCACCGATAGGTCCGATCATCACCTGCTCCGCACACGCACCAGTATCTGGCAATTAGTGTGCTTACCCACCCGTGACAATTTCAAGCTACTCCTGATCTGTAAAAGCGGCACTACAACTTGAAGTGAATATCAGACCGAATGGAAACAAAATAGAAACTGTAGCCACTAGCTGTAGCAGCACATGTGCGCACGAAGAACAATGCTATTACACATTCATGCGGTTACTTTTAATTCAAGTATAGATTATAATTCAATGGAATTTACTCGAACTGGCTGATATCGGAGTAACCAGTGTGAAACCAGCTGACGACTCCTGGCTCCATTATGAGGCGCGTTTTTTATAGAAATTTTTAATATCGGTTGGGTTGTCAGAGAGTGGATTTAATCCTGATAGACGGTGTATGTACAATTGGTCTGGTGTTGTTTTTGGTGGGGTTCTATGACAAACCAACAGCAGACGCGGAGAACGCCATTTATTCCATACCACACTGGTAGATATCTTCAAATTTCTGGGCTTCAATTAAGCGATCTATTTCAAGGTATGTAATCGCTTATCACTTGATAAGGGGTAATGTCCATTCAAGGACCTTCACCCTGCTTACCTATCTCAGTTACTAGATAGTATACTATACATCTTAGTACAATGATAGTATCTCAGATGCCCGCTGCTTTCGTGTAAGTCAACTTTAAAAAGTACAACAGTGAGATAATTCTAAAGAAAAGAAAAGAAAAGAAAGAAAGAAAAAAGAAACCCAATTGAGTTAGCCCTAGAGTTGCATGAGGTTAGGACATGAGGACTTTTCCTGCTCTCTCTTGTTAAGAAACAATGATCCTCTGTCTATCCAAACGCAATTCAAACCACCAGAGGATATGGGGACGGATAGCATTCCTCATGAAGCAATTGCTTGATAATTTTTGCTTATTGGGACCCGGTCCTTTTGCCAAAAGGCCTGTCACGAGCCCAATAAAGGCCAGCCTTGTCATAACCGTGCAAACAATATCAAGACTGTGTGCGTACACCTCGATAATAACGACACGCTGCCCTAATGTCGATCCATATATCGAACAATCTGAACAAGCACACTTGCTTCTTGCGCAAGACTAGAGGCTTGGCGCGCAAGTGCTAGGTAGGCCGTCGACTTGATGGTAAACTGTGCCTCGAAGGTCGCACCTTCAATAGCGACACCTATGCTCTATCCAAAAGAGCACCAGAAATTGTATATGAAGGCTGCATACGTAATATCCTTCTCCTCTGCCACGGCTTGTGTCCCGTAAGTGAGACTGCTGTAGAACATTCCCAGGTTGAACCCGATGCCAGATTTAGGAATAACCATTCAGGGACCATTGTGCGAGGACTAAGCAGATACTGTAAGTGCATTCCAAGCATACTCAAGAACCGGGCTCCCCAATTTGCCCATCGATAGCGCGACCCCGCTTGCTAACAAGCACAGCTACCACAATTACGCACGGGTAACAGCGAATATCTCCCGGAAAATTGCGACTCTTGATGTGATAACACCATAGCTTTGAACAGACAGTAAAGTGGAAAATAGTGGAAGAATCACCATAGTAAAACACTGTGAATACACGTTCCTAGGTAGTTAACTGAGGCTGTGCGCTGCTGGAAAATGATGGGTCGAAGGATGGGGTCCTGTGGTATGTTAGCCTCATAGATGACGAAGCCTGTGAGTCCAAGTATACTTAGCACCAGAGGTACAATAAGCTGCCATGACGACCATGCGACCATCACGTTGGCCCAGAAATGGCCAACAGAAAGCTCATGCTGGAAGCAGTGTATCAAACTAATAAAGTCCGGGATATCCTTGAGATAGATATCCAGATACCTTCGTCCGTTTAAGAAATGCGATAGCTATAACCAATCCAATGTCACAGGTTAGAAGATTGATTCAGAGAAACCAAGTCGAGGAAGCAGCCTCCGCGAAAGCACCACCTATTACTAGCCTATCAACTGACCCAATAGTCCATACAGTGCTTTTCCAACCAAACTATGCCCCTCGCGCGCGTAAATGTGTAAGATCGGTAATAATGATCTCCGTTAGGCTAATGATATCTCCGTCAAGTGAGCCCTGGGTACCTCGTCCTACGAATGCTATAGCAAAGCTCTTGCATAAAACAAAGATGGTTGATCCAATGGTAAAGAGGACAAGCTAAAGCATGACAAAATACCTGCGACCAAACGTTTGCGACAAAGACCCAAATATAAGCTGGGATGCCGTGTTGGTGAGCAGGAAGGGGGTGCCGGTCCAGCAAGGCTCAGTCGCAGAAACTTTTAGATCCTGGGATGTTATTTACATGGGTTGCACACTGGTTTAAGTACTTGTAGAAGCAGAAGATTTGCAGGGAGTCAGGCGTACAGGCAAGGCAATGGACAATGAGGTAGCATCTAAGGCAGCGGCGAGATACAATCCAAAGGCTGCTGAAAGCAGTGTGCAATCGAAGGCCAGCACGAATCTGTTGCTATCATTCTTGACACGTTCTAGTGAGACAAGGCCAGTTTCTTTGTTTTTGCCCGAGTGGCTTCTATAAAAGGTGGCGAGCAATCAGGCCATGCTAAGAAATTCGGACCAGGTATTTATTTCAAAAGGACAACTTGCTGAACTTATGCACATCAACAGATAGTTGAATTATATGATATGAAAATAGGTACCTAGTGTGGATCAATCATCTGTCTACTTGTGGTCCAACATTTATCCAGGCTTTGAAGCATGGGAATTTCCTATTCTTGGCTGGAAACCTCTTTTTACTTTTTTCCTCCCTTTTTTCCCTTTCCTTTTCTTCCCCATCTTTTCTTCTTTCTTTTTCTTCTTTTCCCCTTGACCATTACTGTTGTAGTTTCTAAATCTAACTATATAAGTACATTGTACGTTTACTCTTGAAAGAATATTTCTTTTTCTCCCTCCCTTTGCGTTATTATAACTACTATAATCAAATTACAGCCATTCTTGGAGGGCATTGTGTTACACTATTTTAATTTTGCCAACACGGTAAATGTACATGTCGAACAAGTTCCGGTAACAAAATCCAGTAAAACCCCTCTTTTCTTTAGATAGGCAGGAGTAACTCTGGTCACTAGTGAGGAGACGTAGCGTGTGTATGATGCTAAGGTTGTATCAAAAGCAAATATCTCCGCACCAGTGGGGAGGGCGGAGTGTATCTGCGTCCATTAGTATTCCGATCCTTACCCAGGAAGACCTACCGACCACGATTGTATTATTCCTCTCTCCTCAATCAGTCCTCGAAATAGTTCAAAGCTTCATTCTTCTGTAAGCTACCACACGGAAGCTATAGCTCAATTTGGTGATGTATCCCAGTCTCCACGGGAAACTTCACTGACTCCTGACCTAGTGACTGTCAAGACAACTTAAAAGGTAATGGTGACTTTAGGGCTTTGATGATCAGACAACAAGAGTCCAACGTCCGCGGCAGCCACGTGACCCCCCTCGCAAAACCCCCTCATGACAACCCCACAGTTTTTCTTCCCCGCTCGCAGGTTATCCATCAAAGGACAAATGCTCCAATTCCAAGGCAATTCGCTATGGAGGACGAGAGAACTTCCCCTGGGAAAGTGAGAAAGAAGTCTACTCCCGCCAACCGGAAGTCCCTGTCTTGCGAATATTGCAGCAGGTCTTTTGCACGTCTGGAGCATCTCCAACGCCATCTCCGCACACGTTGAGTAACCCTGAAGACGTCCCAAATTGGCATCTGCCTATGCGATGTACACTGTGTTGATTGATTTATCTACAGATACAAAAGAAAAGCCCTTTTCATGTGACATATGCTCCAAATCTTTTGCAAGAAGGTGAACACACTTTGCTCTTCGAACACGACTATTCCACGCTAATCAGGGGCTTTACATGTCTGTAGCGACCTGCTCGTACGGCATGAGCGACTAGTTCATCCAGCGGAGGCAGCAGCCAATCGTGAACATCGAAACAATAGCAATCATGATGTCCCTCAGACCCCGTCATCCATTATACAACCGACCCACCAAGAGTCGCGCATGCTAGAGCTTGCAGATGCCGTTCCCGTGCAAACACAACCAGTTCCGCAGCCCCCACCTGAGGTGCAGATCCAAGCTCCTCCAATCGTCGAGACAACTCATTTCAACCCATCCTGGGGGTACGATCTAAACTTGCTCTCTCATGCTGCTAGTCATGTGGCTCTTGAGGGCCAGCAGGAAAGCCTCGAGTCGATGCGTAAACCCTCACAGAACGTAGGCCCTCCCCAGCCGTTGTCTCAGGTTCCGGAGAGAGCGATCACGGACAACTATGGTGTTGAACCTTCTTTCCTAGATCTCACAGACCTAGGTGACCCCGTCCAAGACTTTACCGTCTTCTTGGAAAGCGTTGGTCTTTCTTCTGATTGGGACTCTGGCGTATTCTCATCGGTGGAAGAACCTATGTTGACGGCAAATATCCCAATTGACTCAAAACCACCTATTCGCGAAAGTGCAAGACTTGGGGCAGAGATGATGAGCGATCCGCGTGGCCCAGCCGATGAGCCACCGTCCTTTTCTAATTTTGGATCTCGGCTACCATCTCTACAGCCAGAGCCGCAAGACGTTGATGATCGTCTTGTGTTTGGTGACGAAGGCCCACGTCCAGCTTGGGATATTTCGAATACAGATCGTCAAGTCTTTCTCTCAAAACTCGAGGAATTTGCTTACATTCTCCCGAAGGGCTTTATCCCACCATCAAGACATGCTCTGTCGCGCTTCTTCGCTGGCTACATTAATGGACTAAACGAACACCTCCCATTCCTTCATGTACCGACACTATCGGTCGCAAAATGCTCCCCTGAGCTCACCCTCGCTTTAGCAGCCGCAGGATCTCATTACCGGTTTGAAAACAATCGAGGGATCGAGCTTTTCCATGCCTCGAAAGCCATTCTTCTGCAGCGCCTACAGAGAAGGGATAGCAAGCAAGTACAATGCCCTTCGTGGAATTTTGTCTCTCCACCATCCGGCTTTCACGGTTCGAGGGGCTCCTCTACCCCTTCCAACAATGCCAATAGCCCGTTTCAGCAGCATCATATCCCGCATCCGGTCGAGTCGCCCTCGGGCTACGCACCCCAAGATTCGGACGCTCACATGGAAGTAATCAGGACCTTCCTACTGCTCACAGTGTTTGCTTCTTGGGAGAGACATCCTGAACTATTGCGGGAAATTCTTTCTCTTCAGAGCACGTTGGCTCGACTTGTCAGAGAGCATGGACTTACTGAGCCACCCCCTACTGATCCCAACAACTGGGAAGACTGGGTACGAAGAGAAGGTAATAGGCGGACAAAGTTCATCGTATACTGCTTCTTTAATTTACATTCTATCATGTACAACATACCCCCGTTGATTCTGAACGCAGAGCTGAAACTAAACATGCCATGCTCACACGACGTTTGGAAAGCCAACAACGCAACCCAGTGGCGGCGGGTCATGCGTTCACGGCATGGACCGGAAGTTTCATTCCAGGAAGCCTTCGCTAAGCTATTCGTCAAGTCCAATCTATCAAATTCATCGACACCCATATCACCGCTTGGGAACTATATTCTCATACATGCCCTTATTCAACAAATCTTCTTTGCCCGCCAGCTTTGTTTGTCTGCACCGATGATGCAAGGCACCAGCCTGAGGCAGGAAGATTTGTCCACCTTAGACAATTCTCTAAGCGCTTGGAAAGCATTGTGGAAGCGCACGCCAGAATCGAGCATTGACCCTCAAAACCCGGCAGGCCCAATAGCATTCACGTCGACTGCCCTTCTCGGGCTCGCCTATATTAGGTTACATGTTGACTTAGGTCCCTGTCGCCGCCTCATTACCCAGGACCCGATCCAGATCGCCAGGGCTCTAGGTGAATCTCCACCTGTAGCACGGAGCCCGCGCCTCATCATGGCTTTACTGCATTCTGCGCACGCACTTTCCATCCCGGTCCGCCTCGGGATAGACTTCGTAGCGCGAACCCATTCATTTTTCTGGAGTATTCAGCACTCCCTTTGTAGCCTGGAATGTGCATTTCTTCTAAGTCGATGGTTACTTTCCATACCGGTGACGCAGGCTGAACAAAGACTGACAGAGCATGAGCGAAAGTTGCTCTTATGGATTAAGAGTATGATGGATGAGACTGACATGGCCGTTGATCCGCCAGGCGCACCTGATGTGGAATTTCTGGCCAATCCCTACAAGGCAAAGCAACTCAGTATTGCTATTGTACGAGTATGGGCGAGGACATTCAAAGGGAATACAAGCTGGGCGATAGTGGATCTGGTCGGGTCGAGCTTGGAAGCTTATGCAGATCTTCTGGAAACGCAGTTATGATGATCTTCCCTGGTTTCATACACGCGTCAGCCTCGTGGGAAGTTTGTGTTGAAGTAAAGCACTTCGCAGGGCATTGGTAGCTTATCCGCTACAGCACATGCCCTGGTAGCTGCAAAACGCATGTTTCCCTGCTTTGTTTGCCCATCGGCTGGTGATGTCTATGGATGAACACTGGCCAACACAACGCAGCTGGTCTTCGCCAGTTATACCTTTTCTCGTTGCTAACCTGGCTAGCAATAAAGTAGTTGGTGCTGCCCGAGTCGGCAGTGTGATGTGGCAGCTTGACTCTTGTGAGCCTTTGGGTAATATGTGATGTTATTATATACCCCTCATCACATATTCTCTTCACCTCTTAATCATGTATATAAATGTAAGCTCTCTCGTTAAGGAGGCTGAAAATGTTGCGATACGATTATTACGCCTTTGACACCCATGAAATATCTTCTCACTCTCCCCTTTCTCCTATTTTTGTCCTCCGTCGCCCTTGAGAAAGTGATGATTGCACGCTTTATGTTGTCCCTTGCTTGTTTATGCTTGCCCTTATAGGCTTGTCTCTATCAATAATGGTGTATCGCCCGCGGAAGGTCTTTTGATTTGAATTTAATAGCCTTGCTATATATACTCACTGGTCTCGGCACGTATTTTGTTACCATCAGTAATTTGTTGCTTCGTTATATGATCCTCTCTGATCAGTTGGATCGTCTACCATGGCCCTTTGTAACGCTTGCCGGGACAAATCGCAAAGAAGACATAGATACCTCAAGTTGAGCTATTTCCGAATCACCCGTTTGTGGCTGAGGGGCTATGTCCTGTCCAGGAACCGGTTTAGTGTGGGATAGAGAGCTTTGTCGGTGTCTAAGCCGACCTTCCTGCGGGGAAGTTGGAGTTGCCGAAATTCGACGCCTATGCGAGTTCACTGGCCGTAGCATAGATGTCTGCTTATCTATACCATCGTTCACTATATAAAAATTGTAGGTCTGTGGCTCAGGTATATCAGATACTGTGCACCGATTTGGTCTCCCCCGAGCAATTTACCTTGGGAAACATATGTTTATCTATCAAATGCATCCTGCGTTTCTGCGGCGTCGAGCATTTCCGCTCGCAATCTTCAATAAAACACCCATACTATGTCCGATCGAGCATTGTAAGCCGCAGCTTTGGGCTATAAAACGAACTGCTCAATATCATGGAAACATACAGTCTTTTCTCCCCGGTCCCTTTTCGCGGCAATCAGAGGATCATGGTTCTCCTCGATATGTAGATTCAAGAACCGGTCAGTAGGGAAGTTCTTTCCACACGCTGTGCATCTGTTAACATGCGTTTGTTTATAATGGACTTCGTAATCATCATATGAGGGGAACGAGAGCGTCTCCCGATGCGGCGGCAGTGAGCAATGCATTACTTCTGTCCCAGAATTGACGGTGTCAGATAGATGCTTTTTGGATCGTTCAACAGAAGTGATGGAAAATGATGGCGATGAGGGCTTTAAACCGGTCTCTGGAAGTTGGCCAACGGAGGAGGATCTAGAGATGCTCCGGGAGCGCTTGGACATCCTGGCTGTCTATTGCTCTTATAGTTCACTCGTCTGGTTGGGTGGATGTTATGCAAGCGTCTCCTGCAAGGTTCATTGGGTACCTATGTATGAGGTGTTCTCGCTGACTCTGCGAAAAATCTCCGTCGAAGTTGGTATTGGAATTATTATGGGCTTAAATCAAGGTTCGGGTGATTTCTTGAACCACCACACAAGAAGGAAGATGATCTTGATATCATTGAAATCTCTCATCGAAACAGTGTCGGTAATGAATGAACCATTACGTCCTGTCCTGTCCTGTATTGTACTGTAATCAGTTCCTGGACGCACACCAGCCACAGGCGGGCAAGCCAATCACCGCTCCACAAAGCCACATCTCATCCGATTCAACGCCCGTCTTTTTCGGTCGCCGTCCAGAAGTTCCCGTGATATTGGGATTTTCTTTGCAACGAGCGGCTTGAACCCCTCGTTACTCGTTCCTGCGCGTGGGAGCCTATCTTCGTTCTGTTCCATTCGACGCCCCCATCTCGGTGCAGTCACTCTCGACCTTGCTTCCGACCAGCGCCAACCCACCCGTTCCGTATATACTACTGATGGATCGTTCACTGCTCTCGTCGCCCGCAGACTTCCAGCCAGCCATAGCCATCTGACGGGCGAAGTCGACGGTGGAGTGACAACGGGCTTCGTTTCACCCATCCCGAGCATGGCGTCCGCGTTTCAGAATACGTGGCAGTCAGTATCCTCATATATTCTTCAGAAAAGAAATGAACCCGACTTTCTGAACCGCAATGTACAGGATTGCGCTCAACATCGAGGGAGAGCTTCTGAAGAGCCTTGCCGAGAAAGAGCCTACGTTTGCTGAAATTTCGCATTACCTCTCTGAGTCAGTTTATATCCATCTAGTTACTAGATAATTCGTCTCTCGTGCGCATTGCTCTGACACTCCGTTATCGCAGACTCCGCGCAGCTTGCCAGAATGCCATCCTTCAGGACTTTGATGCCGCTCGCTCCATCGACGTGGAAAGTCGCCTTTGGGATGCACATCTCAAAATTAACAATCGGTTTCGTAAACTACTCTCTCGCGTGAGTCTTCCGGCTTTAGGGATCTCTATCGATGAGACTCATCTAACCTCCCGCACACGCAACTTAGTTCCGCGAGCAAAACGGAAAGAAGAAGAAACCAGTAGAGAGACGAAAGCTTGAGAAACATTATCTCGAATTCATCAAAGCAAGTCAGCGGTTCTATAGAGGATACATCCAGCAATTGTCGTCGCATTTCGGGGGGATTCCGGAGCTTGAAACCGTTGCGCGGAAATTCAACTTTGACAGTGAGCAATGCCGTCCTCTCCCTCGTAAACCTCCTTACTCAACCGAACCTTTGTGTTAGATTTATCTGCGGAGGATCCCACGGTACAACCGGTTGGGGACCTTCGAAAACGTATTCTGCAGTCATGTCATGCGACCCTTATCCGTCTCGGCGATCTCTCACGCTACCGCGAAACCGAACTGGTTGGCAAGGACCGCAATTGGGGTCCGGCCATAGGCTATTATGACCTTGCCACAGTAATATATCCAGCCTCTGGTGCCTCGCACAATCAATTGGCTGTCATTGCCCTCGCCGACGGTAATCACTTGCGGGCCACTTATCACCTCTATAGGGCACTAGCCGCCCAGGAACCTCATCCATCTGCCAAGGGCAACCTAGAAATTGAGTTTAGGAAGGTTAGGAATCTGTGGGCTAAAAGAGAGCTGATTCGCCCCGAGGATGCCGGTATTCCTGGCAGGGCGTTGGCTCCTTGGTTTGTATATCTACATGCTCAATGTTACAAAGGCGTGGATTTTCCCGAGCATGATGAGCTTGAAAATGAAGTACTGAATCAACTTGCTGTTGATTTGAAGGAGCGTTCCCTAGAGGGCACCTTACAGAAGTTCTGTCTAGTCAATATCTCCGCAGAAGATTTTTCTAGGACACGCTCGAATGGTAAGTCTCCAAGTATGACGATTGCAAGAGCCACTTTTGACATATACTTCAGAAGAGTCCGTGTCAAATGCACGCCTCTTTTTCCGGCGTATCAATGTAAAAACATTCTTTACATTACTTCAGATCCTTTTAGCTGAAGTGGAGCGGTTCGCAGTCGAAGAAACAAACAATACGGATGGAAAGAATGGCCCTGATAAGATCACCGCTGTTGCACGACGTGTTTTGCCTGCTCTCCGAAACTACAGCTCTTGGCTACTTACAGTCAGCCATCTTCTAGTAGCTCATAAAGAGGAGAAAGACACCCCGCTTTCTGTCCAAATAATTGAGTTCTGGAAAATCTACGCCAACACACTGACTCTTCTCGCATCCACATTCGATGTAGTCCTCCTTCCGGAGATAGACTACCTTTTGGAAGAAGATGAAGAGACTCTGTGTTTTGTGCCGCTAAATAAAGAGGCCACATCACGTAGATATTTGGATACAAGTGGCCGCCAAAAGCCTCGGATGAACGATCTAGGAGTGGAAAGGAATCACCCGAACATGGAGATGCTTTACCGAATTCGCGAATTCGTAATTGATGGGTTGGATTTGGTTGTCAGCAATGTATGCAGCAATCTTCTCCCTCTGTTGATTAAAATCGATTACTAATGCGTGCTCTACCTTCAGAAAATCCCCATAGCTCTAGTCGACGACGGTGACAAAAAAACATTCCTCTACAAGGAGGAAGGGCTTCCATCTCAGTTCTTTGCCAGTCCCTCGGGACATCACCATACCCTTTCCTCGGCGAGCATTGAACGGGAGGACATTCAACAAACAACACAAGATCCAAGTTACGCTACCGATTCCAGAAGTGTCTTTGGGGGCTCTCAATCAGCGTCAATGTCAGCCAGTATGCACCGCATTGTTGAAGGTGTGGAGCGCCTGGTTGAGTCGGACTGCTATGAAAACACTCCGGCGTTGCCGGAGCATCTCGTCTTTTCACGAAACAACCAGCAACCCGGCTCCAGCCATATCTTCAATCCTAGTACGGACTCAATATTTCGGGAAGAGATCATTCCTGCTCGTCAGACTCCCATCGCTCCACCTGGGCTTGGCCACTCAATGGCAAACGCTACTGCCCTAGCCAGGGTTCCGTCATCACAGTCATACGCGCCGCGACCCTCCCTCCCTGGTATCCCTAGTATATGGAACATGGGCCTCTCACCAGAAGTTGGTGATACAACCTCTCCCAGGACTCCACCAGGCCTTGGGCAACAACCAATGCAACATCCCGGTCATTTAATCCCAGGAAGCATCGGTAGCCCAAGCCATCACCTATCTCAGGACTCGGCTGTGAACGATCTCATGCTTCGTCAGAGTCTAATGCACCAATCTCAGCTGCAAAACCCTTTGAATGGATCCAGCTCTATATCCTCGTGGATCCCCTCGTCAAACCCCACATCGCACCACCGTCTTTCAGGCTTGGGGTGGGACAGCAGAGGACCACTAGATGCCGCAAGCTCTCCGCCACCCCTCGGTGCGCCCAGCCTGCCGATCTCAAGTGGCTTGACCAATGCCTCGTGGGCAAACGATGCGTTCCTCGCCAACACGCTCTCCTCAGGCGCAGGTTACCCCAGCTCTGGGTTCGGCGGCAGTCGCAAATCTGCTACCCAGTACGGTGCTATTGGTCAAACACCTCCCTGCGGACATGGAGGGTGACACCGATTTCTTGATGATCTAAGTATGGGGAACAACTCTCCAAGAGTTCTTTGAGATAGAAGCATACACGCAGGAAACGCGGGTGCGAGCTTTGGTTACCTGGGCTCCGATTTGTGAGCGTCGGAAGTGCAGTGTGAGATTATGCAGCATCTCCCTTCGCTCCTATCTGTTAGTCCAGTTCTTAGCATTCAAAGCCCGCTTTTCATAAGCAGGCTTGTGCACTGTCAAATTTCCCACGTGGGCTCATTGGCCGTGCTGTCGTTAGACCGCTGGTATTAAGGATACGGTCATGTTCACTAGAGAAACATTGGTGAAAGGCCGTATACAATAAGCGTTCTACAACTTATTCATGAAGTCGAAAAGGAGACCATATATTGCAAAATCATGCGTTCGTGGGCTCGCCTTCAGGTCATAGGGGCGAAGAGTCGGGATAAGGATTAGGAGCCAAATTATCAGTTTCCCAGATTTATTTGGATTATCTCTTTCGTTTAGCTGTCAGAGAGCTATATCAATGAGACTACTCATTTAGGAACTAAAACCCAAGAGCTGGGTGTCAAGTCTAGCGAGCTGAATTCAAGCATAAATCACTGAAGGTGGTAATAGATTTATATGTATATCGAACCGAATGTGCGGACCATTAAATTCGTTGTTGAGAACGTCATCTCTGCAACTCCTGTCTATCACATAAATCATCAGGCAATGGGAGCGCAACTCTCAAGAAGATGTTGATGGAAAGAAGTCGAAGACGTTAAGTCAAAGACAGGTGGGGTATTAGAAGGTTGAATCCTAAAAAAAAAAAGAGTTCTTTCTTTGTCACCGCATGCTATCCTTACAACGCTGTGTAAGTGATGTAGATAGAAAGGTGAGTAGTTTACGACCGGTTGGTGGGAGTGTAAGCCTTCTTGGGGAAGGGGAAACTAAATTATTATGTCAGTCAGTCATTCTCTCACAATTACGTTCAATCCGCCAATTATACTAGCCAGAAAATGACCTCCGCCAGTGTTGGTGAAAAGCATTGGCTCAGAAAGGACGAAAAAGGGAGTTACTTACGAAGGTCCCAACTCTTGGATGCTAAGGCTGGCGAGCCACTGGCCCATGTCCATGCTCTCTTCAAGAGACTTGCCTTGCACGACACCAGCACAGAAACCACCAGCGAAGGCATCACTATAAAACACGTCAGTCATACTTATGTTTTCACTAGAAAAAGGTCCACTTACCCGGCACCGTTGGTGTCGTTGATGCTGTCCTTAGGGATCTCAACAACGCTGAACTCCTTAACCTCAACTTCGCCGTTGGGCTTAACGGTAGCAGCTACGGTGGGAAGAGTGCCCTGAGTCACAATGGCGACCCTTGGGCGGCTGGTGTTCTTCTTGGGCAACTGAGCCAATTTCTTAGCGATCTCAGAGACGTCATCTGTACCCCATTGGTGGCTCTTGGAATAAGCACGAGCCTCAGTCTCATTGCAGAAGGTGTAGTCGGTGTAGGGCAGCACACTGTCGAGCTGGTCCTTGAAGAACTCAGGGATGAAAGGGGCCGAAAGAGAGAGCATGAAGATCTGCAAGCGTGCACATTTAGTACTAGTCCATTGAGAAGGAACATTCGTATAGGCTGAATTCAGTAAGTTGTCACGTATACATACCTTGTTCTTTGCAGCAGCCTCTTCACCTAGTGCCTGGATAGCGGGCACACACACGGTAAGGTGGTAGCCACCAACATAGTACACCTGAGCCTTCTCAACCAGAGACCAGATTTGAGGCTGCTGAAGGTGCTCAAGCTTGTACTCATTGGCCGCAGCAAGGTGGGTGCACATGCTACGGTTGTGGCCAGTAATGATCACACCGCACTTGCCGGTAGGCTGGACATCGTCCACACGGTACTCGGTGTGCACACCAGCCTTGGTGCAGGTTTCCTTCAGAATATCGGCATACTTATCACGGCCAACACATCCGATGTAGAGAACAGAGTTGTCGGGGAGAATGTACTAACGGGTGGCATTATAGTTAACATACGGGTAATAAAAAAAATAATTCAAGTATAATTCAGCCCATACCTGAGCGCCACGGGCAGTGTTCTGGGCGGCACCACCCGCAATCAACTTAGCATCATGGTTCTGCAGAAGCTCCTCATAGAGCCCCATATGCTCCTCCTCGGCGAGGATAGCATCATTGTCCTTCAGACCATACTTCTGGAGAAGAGAAACATCACTATAGAACTGTATCAGTCCACGTACTATACTTCAAAAGTATTTTGACTGGTCAAGATCGATAACATACCCAACAGCTTGGATATCTGGAAATTACAACCGGAAAAGGACTTGCATTAGCATTGCCTAAAATCACAAATTTTACGGATATCTATCAAGCCAGGCAGGATAATAGTCCTCACGTACCGAGGAGAGGGTTCTCCAAGCAAAGAAAAGGGTATCCTTGAGCGGCAGCCATTGTCATGTATTTCAACAAGAGAAAGTGCCTGTAAAGAAAGGACGAATGGGAGGGACGTGTGGAGAGGAAGGAGAAATGTTAAGAAAAAAGGAAATCTCTGAGAGGAGGAAGAAGAGGAGAAGGTGAGGGTGAGAATGGAAGAAAAGGTGGGGGAGGGATGATGGTCCGGAGGGGCAGCAACAGAAAGAAGATCCGGATCATATGCCGTACCGTACTGTACGGAGCGTATTGCATCGCATCAGGGGAGAAGTCCTCCGATGTCCGCCTACAACTCTCCATACTACAAACACCTCTTTTTCCTGTTATCATTGCATATCGTACAATATTCGCCTTCCACAATGACTGACCCAGCCCTAGGAATTGCTGAGGCCATTCAAGCGGCCTCCATCAATCCGGAGCCATCCCCAAGCCATGACATCAATCCTCCGACCGCAACTTCGGAGAAGAAGCCTGTCGCTGAAGATGCTCTGTCCGACGCTGGCAGCATCCCATCCGACATCGTGGACCCCCATCGAATGATCGCACCCGCTCCAAGACGGCATCATCTTCCTCCAATGCCTGATTTGCGCTTCGAACAAAGTTATCTGGCCAGCATACGGGGTGCTGAGACTTGGGGTCGTGTCGCATGGATCACCGTCCGCGATCAGGTATGAGGCTGCCCCCAGACCTACTATCGGAAAAAAAGAAGGAGAAAGGGTATCAAGGAACACTCAAGGCTCACGCACCTATGTTCTTTTCTTTTTTTTTTTTTAGGTTCTTCTCCCTCTGATCCAAGGAACCCTCTGGACCCTCGCACTCTCCGGTTGGCGATTCTGGAACCGCAACGCGTCTCTCAGTGGTCAAACATTGGGCAGCAAAATTCGACGCTGGTGGTACGAAGTAAATAACTGGAAACTCCCTCCCCTCCCATCAATGAAGGACCGTAAACTTGCTGCACAGGCGGAAGACGTGAGTGACTCCCTGCCCTGTTCATGTTATTTGATACTGTAGCTATGTTTAGCTCGGGTAACGTAGCTATTCTGACCGGGGCTGACATTCTCGGAGTTTTTACAGTTTTATAAGACTCAGTTCTCTAATGCCGGTGCCGACTAATTGGTTTGAACAAACTGCGATTTTTGTGGTATTTTGGTTGCATTTTAGGAGTTCGGGTGACGGCGTTACGAATATAGCCACTTCGATGGTCTTTCTGTACCTCATGTTTTAAGCCCACGGGTGCACATTTATGCGCAGTTGGCTAAACTCTTGTAGACATTTCAATGGAGCTCTTCTCTTAGTAAAGATGACATCGTAGGACATTCATATAAAGGCTAACCTGCTATCGAGGAGTCGTGAAAACTCATAACCACGACCTACTTGCAGGCTAACACGGACATTTTCTCTGATACTAACCAGACAAATTACCACCACATAAGCGCCTTAGGAGACCCCATTGACTTGCCCGCGTGTACAACAGAACCTAAATGAAAAGGCACGCTCCAGCATGAACTCTATCAAAATAGCCACACATTCAACGCCCGGGGGTACGTGGCTTCAAATGCTTTGAACCTCCTCTTTTGAACCAGGAGCAGGCGCCGGTTGATAGGGATGTGACCCGGTGCTCATAGCGACGCGGACGGCTTCAGCACCTCCCTCAGGCTTGCCGTTTGGCTCATTTCGGTGCTCAGTCTTTTGCCCCTGAGATCCATCATCCCCTGGTGTAGAAACGGTTGGCTTCGCTGCGTCTGAGGATGGTATACATTCTGGAGGCGCAGGTTCAGTCGCTATTTCCAGTTTGCCCCTCACGTTCTCTCCTGTTAAAATGTCACTAGGACCATTAGGGCTGCTCGGCACCTTCCCCTTGCCGTATCTGAGCTGCACTACCAGGCTTGGGTTTTCTCCGTTCACTATCGACTCGTCACCACTCAACTCTTCTTCGTCGTCGCCTTCGAAATCGTTATCTTCTTCCTCCTCTCCACCCTGCCACTCCTTTCCGCTGGAGTGTCCCTCATCAGATTCATCCATTTCATCATCCACGTTGTAGCCAGTATATCCATTTGCTCGTGTAGGCCTTGTCCTCTGAGGCCGCCCAGTGTCTTCTGCGCCAGCTAGTTCATCACGCTGGCCACTGAGCAAGCTTTCCCCATACATTCCTCCTGCGCGCGAACGTATCTGCCTTCCACTAGCGGTAAACCTGGGACCCACAGGTTCTGCGGGTGAAGAAATGCCTGAGGTGTTGCGTGTGGATCGTCGGGTCGAAGGTAAGCCATCAGAGAAGATATCCTCATCGTCGGAGTATGTGTATTTCAATTTTTTCCCACGGGTACGGCCTTCATAAAGGGAAAATCCAGGCTCAGGTCTAGAAAATTGTGCTTTGCGCGCAATGCGGTAGTCTCTGCGTTTACGTTTCTTACAACTAATGAGCAAGAGTAAGACGACAGCGGAGAATCATAACTTACCTCTTCTGAGCCCTCGAAGCGAGAAACTGAATTCTTGATCTTCTCACTAAGCTTCTTCGAATACGTGCTCTTCTCCTCGTCGAGTTTATCTGCAACGTCCTTCAACTCGGGAATTGTTCCTGCCACACTCCACCATGTGACATTCTTAAGCGCTGGGTTGCTCTCACGATACAACCTAAAGTGTGTGTCATCTAAGCCTTCGATGAGCCAATATCGACGCTTCAAGCCATCGCGACCCCATGGTTGAACGGAAAGTGGTTGGTTCAGGTCGTCTTCATGTCGTGCTTGCTTGTACGACTCTTTGATCTTTGCCTGAACCGCTTCGGAGGAGGAAAGGGACCAGAGGATCAGCGATTTCAGTAATTGTAACTAAAGCGTATTAGCTATCCACTGTATCTCATTTATTTTGAGGTCACAGAACGTACACGTTCTTCTGGAGCCATTCCTGTGAAAGTGCGACCCCCATGAAGAGGGTTCTTTCCCTGCCAAGCCTTGGGCCATTGGGACACATGGGTTTGGATCGCTTCCTCCAGAGGGCGTGTGTAATGAAGTCGACTGCGCATTTATGATAGATAGTCAGCCTTTTATCATAATCCTTGAACATCCTAACTGTAGATAATAGGAGCTCACTGCGCCCTTCATAGTATAGTAGAAACTAAGTGATAGGTGGTATCCATACTCCACGTCCTTCTTCCTGTTCAACACCAGGCCAAGCAATGCACATAGCAACCTCTCAATATGCTCCCCGGGAGGCGATTCCGCAACACCTCTCTCAATGTCTTGTGGTCCGTAATGTGGTGCTGATCGCGGGAAGACATCGTGAAAACGCGCGCGGAACATTACAATGAACTTTTGGTTGCGACGAGTCAGCAAACATGTTCACCAGTCCATAGACGCGTCAAATAAACGTGCAGAGTCTTAAAAAAAACAAAGTCAATTGATGAATAACTCACTGCAATGTCCGGACTATCTGCCAAAACGTATTCATGTGGTGGTGAAGGTGCCCGTTTCGGCGGCGGAGATTCTGATTCCTTCTTGAAGTACTTGGTGATGCCCACAGGCTCATCAACTGTCATAGGGGCAGACTCATCATCCGATGGTGGCGCTGATGATAGCGACGAGAGATCCGAGTCAGAAAGTGACATGTTAGACATGTTTGCTGAAGTTGGAAGTGGTTGTGTTGAAATGGAACGGAGGTGGGCGAGTGCGCGCCGCAAGAAGTTCTACTGCACTACTGCTGCCGATTAATGGAGCGCGGCTTTTACGCGCCTGGCATGTTCTGGCGTCATCGATGGCCGCCGATATCAAGGTATACTCACAACCCGATCACAGTAATGTATTCTCTAACATTCAATTTTATTCTGGCCTACATCTAGAGTACTGAGCAGGAGATTGAGCATTGATGACCTCATAATGAGGACCTGAGACGCTGTATGAGCCAGCGTAGGGTCATTTCGCAGAAAACTATGGAGGACCAAATGACAAATCAGCTTCTGAAAGAGCGCCAACAATGAGCGATCCCATTGCGAACTTATCATCTAACGTTAGTTTACAGAAGGCTAGACAATGAGCACGGCGCCAGTTCCTTACTGCGGCCAGGACATGTTGAGAAAGGATCAAAGCTATCACCATGAGTGACACATCAGATGTATCGATCCACTCGTTCAATGGCTTTTCTTCTTCTGCAGCGGATGCCAGTAGGAGGGTTGATTTAACTAACCACTGCTGCAGTGCTTCGGGCATCATCAGACAAGTTTCCGCATTGTGATAGCTGTGACCCCAGACTGCGTGGTGTTCCACATTCGGGGATAGTATTCTTTCCTCACCTCTCAAAGGCTGTTGGGGGGTATATTGCTTTTGTCAAACCATCTCGTTTTGGTGATCATTTAGTCATGCATAGAGTAATAAAAAGTTGAAGACCATTAATGCAGTCAAACAGCAATACTACTCAACAAAGTCGATCGATAGCAAGAATCCTGAACCATCGCAGATGGAACCATCATCAAAAGACTGTTTCACTGCGAGATACTCGTAGAAGTATGTGATTGGCGGAGGTCGTGGGTTGCAACACGCGTAGTAGTCACCAAGTGCAGCTGACAGAGTAGTCAAACAAAATCAAATTAGAGAAGTGGACGTCCAGCCTTCGACTGAATAATGGATTGTGTACCAGTTGCGCTTATCAAACAAGTCAAGCACTAAGGTGGTCGCATGAACTGTTACTCCGTGAGGGTACTCGGTTGTTCTTGGAAGTCCATGGCTACTGTCACGGTTAGCCGCGCCGCCAAACTCACAGCCGCGCGAGAGAGGCGCACGGTGACGCTAGTCCAAGCTCGGCTAGATTAGCGACCGCGCCCTAAAGCCCACACAGCCCTTCCGCCGACGAATTCTCACCACCAACCCGACAAGCCCATCTTCGATTTGAGGTACGAGCACTTGATAAACTCCCACCACCGGGTCGCAGGGGTCTTTCTTCTTGTATACTAACCTCCAGGTCTCTATCTAGAAAGTCGCCATGGGTCGCGTGATCCGCAACCAGAGGAAGGGTCGTGGATCCATTTTCAGTGAGTGCGACCGCAGAGTTCTGAGCGAATTCCTGAAGATCAAAGTTGCTGATAACAATTTCGCCTCCAGCGGCCAACACCCGTCTCAACAAGACCCCTGCTCAGTTCCGTGTCCTTGACTTTGCTGAGCGTCATGGATACACCCGGGGTGTTGTGAAGGAGATCATCCACGACCCCGGCCGTGGTGCTCCTCTCGCTAAGGTCCAGTTCCGTCACCCTTACAAGTTCAAGCACGTTACCGAGACCTTCATCGCCAACGAGGGCATGTACACTGGCCAGTTCATCTACGCCGGAAAGAACGCCGCCCTGACCGTCGGCAACGTCCTCCCTCTTTCCTCCGTTCCTGAGGGTACCGTCGTCACCAACGTCGAGGAGAAGTCTGGTGACCGTGGTGCTCTTGGTCGTACCTCTGGTAACTACGTTACCGTCATTGGCCACAACCCTGAGGATGGCAAGACCAGAATCAAGCTTCCTAGCGGTGCCAAGAAGGTTGTGAAGAGCACCTCTCGTGGTATGGTCGGTATCGTTGCAGGTGGTGGTCGTACCGACAAGCCTTTGCTCAGTATGTCTTTAATCCCGTCGATTGGCTTGGTTTTTGCAGAAAATGCGGGAAATCGGAATTGAATGCTAATATCATCTTACAGAGGCTTCTCGTGCCAAGCACAAGTTCGCTGTCAAGCGCAACTCCTGGCCCAAGACTCGTGGTGTTGCCATGAACCCCGTTGATCACGTAAGGAACCCTTGTCTTTTGCTTTGGAGGGGATCAATTTCTGACTTACTTTTCTATAGCCTCACGGTGGTGGTAACCACCAGCACATTGGTAAGGCTTCTACCATCTCCCGCTACGCCGCCCAGGGTCAAAAAGCCGGTCTTATCGCTGCCCGGAGAACCGGTCTGCTCCGTGGTACCCAGAAGACCAAGGAGTAAGGGTATTATGGTGTGGAGTTTTTTTGTTTGTGACGGGTTCAAAATGCTCTTTTGCTATGAGGCACATGTACTTAGGCGACTGCGGATAACCTACCACGCGTCCTTAGCGAAATATGGTTGTGGCCAACAATTTCATTGATGATTAAAACAAAAAGAGGGGGCCAGAAATCGAGTCTCTACGTGCATCTCATAGCATTTGCCAAAAAACGTTAAGACCGAAAAATGAAGAATATTTCCTTGTTTGTTCATGGCGGAATAATTCTTACACTTTGTCCAGTCCTTGTAGGTTTCATGTTCCCCCTGCCTGGTGCTCCACTTAGTTGTAAAAATCCATGATCCACTTGCTGCCCGTCTACTGTGTAGTTTATGTGGATTCATAAGTGCTGTGTCCGAATTCCAATTAGATGCGTTCATGGTGTGGTCTTAGCACTGCCATAACAGAGTAGTTGGCACGCCGTGGCCATGATCTACTTATATAGGGTAATAGCAAAGCAAGTCGTGAGGTCTCTGTATCCCCGGTGGTATTGAAATTCATATTGATTTTCAGCGCTTGCGTATCAAATGAGTCTCTCGGGAGTATATCTGATATCAAAGCCCATATATATTTATGTGTCTATATATATAGCGCGACCTATTCTTGTTATCTCGTTGCTAAGTATCCCCTTGACATAAAGCCGACATCGAATGAATGCTACCCCTCTCGCCGTACCCGGAAAGATAAAAATAAATATAAATATAGCAAGTTTTCGTACAACCGGAAACCAATTGACAAAGCGCCCCGAGGCTTCAAGTATGGCAGATGGTAGTATGTACTTTCTGCTTAGAGGCGAAATGATTGATATTAAACTGACCAATCAGCGGTTCCAGACGCCACTGGCTGAGGAAATCGTCCGTAAGCCAAGCGTATGCTCCAGATACAGACTTTCTTCGAACAATGTTCTCCATGAATTATATCATCTTCCGTTAAGCTAGACAAAGGCTAATAGCACATTATACGTGATGAATCAGGAGAATCTGCCCCTGGAACTACCTCGTCTACCCGTTTGTGCCTCGCCGGCCCTGTCCGCTACTGCCCGCTGGCAGGCAGTGGTCCGCCGAGATGCAACAGCCGAATCATTTGTGTACGCTGTGTTAACGACCAGAATATATTGCCGGCCATCGTGTCCAGCTCGCCTCGCCCGGAGAGCAAATGTCCGATTTTACGATACACCCTCACAAGCCGAAAAAGCAGGTTTCAGACCCTGTAAGCGCTGCAGACCACAAACCTTGCTAGCGGTTAATCCTCAGGCCCAAGTGATACAGAGGGCATGTAAAACCATCCAGTCAGAGATAGCGACTGGCTCCAAACCGACACTGCGGGAACTTGCCAGCCAGGCATGCCTGACACCAAGCCACTTCCATAGGGTGTTCAAAAAGCTCGTGGGCGTCACGCCTGGGCAATATGCTGTTGCCATCCTGAAGGGCGCCCCTAGGGGTCCTCTTGATGACTGCAGCCGAATTTCGAATATTACAGAATTTAAACCATGCGGTGTGGGCTCCGATGATCATAAGCCCTTCTCTCCTGGCGGCTTGGAGGGTGATGGCATGTTCGATTCTGGAGATACTATTCACTGGAATGATTTTGACGCTTTGATAGCCGCGGAGGCTGAGTATGAGTCTGTGTTCGATGCCCAATTTATGAAGGACTTCATCTCGTTTCCCAAGGAAGATGCTGCTGGTACCGCTGAGCACCATAGCCAAGATATTGGGGATGCCCTGTTGCAACTCGAACAAGCAAGTCGCCTGGACAAGGGCATTCCCCTCGCAAGCGTGGAGACTACCATGCCATCCTGAAATAGTGGCTTGCTTCTCGACGGGTAGGGTTCTCATAGCCTCCTGATATTAGATAACTCCTGCACAAGGAGGTGGTGGGGGGGGGGGGCGCACACTCGACACAACCAGGACGGCGGTTAGCCTGTGTTCGTTCTGCTGAACACCTGCCCATTGATCCAAGGAAAGGGAGAAAGAGTGAAATAGGAGGAGAACATCCCGTGTACTAAATACTCTAGGTTTAGTATGGGCTAATCGCTCCACCCAGTCTCGCAGGGGTTCTCAAGAGTCAGATGGTCAACCTGACGTAGATGGTTAGAGCTGGGCCACCATGGTTAGTGCTTCTGGGGTACAGGAGTGATATGCTTTCCCAATCGTCAACCCCAACATGTACATTACAGGTGAATTCCAGGTTGTATTGAAAAGTATGGAGTTTGTGTATCGAGATGGAGTCTACCCACTTAAATACGGAGTAGTTCGCCTTGTTTATCTCTTTCGCATCACGATCTGCAGGTGTAACCCACCGGGGCTTCTAGACTTCTTCACAGGAGAAAATCAAATGGAGTTTCATGTATGGAGAAAATGGTTCTTTAGTGCTATAGGTTAACGCCCCTCCAGTTTACATGAATTCAGCTGCAGATCATTGGAACTAATACAACATATGATAACAGCTAGGTACTAGATTAGTTGAGATATTAAATCAACTGTCCAATGATAGTACACAGACCTACCCTTGCTAGACTACTCCAGATATATTTTGCAGAAACACCAGAAGACTAGACCTCAATATGCACTGTTCCGAAAATAGTCCAGTGGCAACGTTTCTTGTTGAAGACTGACAATCCGAGCAGATTTGTGGCATCGCATCCCCACTTGAAGCCCCACAAAAACGCGTGTCACTTGTTGCAGTTGAATGAAACTGACCTATGAGGCTTCATTGTGTGATACACTCTAGTTGTAGATAATAATAGACTTCATACTACCCCATCCAACAGGCTAAGGTTTCAGGTACTGTACACCTAACTTTCCTGGCCAGATACAAGAACATGGAAGCTAAACAATTGGTGCCAATCATACGGATAACGTCCCCACCTTTAATAACAGTAAGTAACTCCTACGTAATTTATTATTATACAAGAGGTCATTTACGTACCAAGTTATTTTACCTGCAAGGGTCTAGACATACGAGTACGAGGGACGATACCCACTGGAGGATGAAAGGTATTGTATGGTAAAGGCAAAGCCAATCCAATGTGATCCATGTGGCGTTTCTTGCTTCCTCGGATTCAAAATGCATATCGCTGTTTTCTCTCAAGGGTGAGAAAAAAAATAATTCTTTTCTGTAATTTGTCGGTAGTAAACTGAAACAAATAAAGGAATTATGATCGATCAAAATAAAAATAAATTACCACCATTGAATCATGAGAGTCATAACAGGTAAAATAGTAGGGGTAGGAGTAGTAACATTCCATCGGATACCTCTTTAGTCCCTGAGCATCCTCTCCCACCCACTTGGTGTCGCATCCTTTCTTTCCACCTTCCACTTTTCCCCTTCCCCTCTGTCTCCCTTCCCCTTTCTTCAACTACAGACCAAGTCTCTGTACGCCGATTGAATTCGCTGGTCACTGGCCTGCTTCCACCAGCGACAATCCACCTTGTTCTATTCTCTTCACTTTTCTACCCTTAGATCAACCGCGGGGAAGAGATCGTTTTCATTGTCTCGTGCCCATCTGCGTTCGGCCGGTTTTCTTTTTCTTTTTGCATTCTCTATTTCTTGCCAATCTGCTGGCCAGATCCGTCTAGCTTTTAACTCCAATTCGTTTTTAATTTCTCCTCCATTCGTCGAATCGCATCACTTGCTACTACTATCCTCGGTCACCATGAACGTCAACAGGAAATTCGATCGCTTCAAGCAGTGGGCAGGGGAGAGAATGGGTGGTGAGGTCAAAACTAATCTATCGGATGATTTCAAAGCCATGGAGACAGAAATGGGCGTGCGAAACGAAGGTAAGTCCGCCGATATATACCAAAGCTGAAAGGCTTCGTTCAATGGCTGATTTTTCGTCAAGGTCTTGATCGCCTTCACAAGTCCATGATTGCCTACGTCAAAGCCATCTCGAAGCGCAGCGAAGGTGATGATAAAGAGAAGACATTACCCATTGGTCATTTGGGCACTAGCATGGTCAGCCATGGCGAGGACTATGACGCCCATTCTGATTACGGCCGTTGCCTGACAAGTACGTTATCGCCCGTTACCCTCCTCAATCTCCCGGAAATCCGCGTGCCTAACAATTTTATTTCCAATTGCACAGAATTCGGACGGACAGAGGAGCGCATTGCTCGCCTCCAGGAGTCGTATATCGCAGAGGCGAACTCAAGCTGGCTTGAGTCCCTGGATCGGTCCTTGGCGCAGATGAAGCAGTACCAGGTAAATTCATCACATTTACTAGATATTGCTGCAACATGCCTAATAAAATACAGAATGCCCGTAGGAAACTCGACAGCCGACGGTTGGCTTTTGACACTTCGTTGTCCAAAATGCAGAAGGCAAAGAAGGAGGATTTCCGCGCAGAGGAAGAACTTCGGACCCAGAAGGCTAAATATGAGGAGGCCAACGATGATGTATACCGGCGGATGCAGGACATTAAAGAAGGTGAAATGGAGAGCATTGCGGATTTGGAAGCATTTTTGGAAGCGCAGTTGGACTACCACGAGAAGTGCAGAGAAGTCCTTCTCCAACTCAAGAATGAGTGGCCTAGCCGGTGAGTAACTGTCGACGCAAGGAAACGCCTCTCACAGGTGTATTAATTATTCCGTGACAGGCAATCTCAGACACAAGGTTCGAGTGCTCGGCGCCCTGGTCGTGCCCGTGCTAGCACAGCCCATTCGTATCAGGAGCGATACGAACCCCTGCATGAGGAACTCAGCAACTCGGCAGATCTGCGCCCTATTATTCGGTCAAGCAGGTCTCCGTCCGATGTGGGTGACTCGAGAGAAGTCTATGCCCCGGAGCCTGTACCGCAGAGGCCTTTCCTCAATAGGACTTCAACGTTCGAAAGTCCAGCACAACTACGACAAGAACAAGCGTACAGTCCAAGTCCTCGACCATATCGAGCGCCTAGTGAGAATTTCATTACCGGCAGGAACAGCGTCCTGGCTCGGATGGCTGCCGATCCGTCTGAGGAGACCAGCCCGCGATCTGGCACTAGCCCCGACAGAATGTACCAGGGACGATCTGATTCCCCGGTATCACCATTCGGGGGTGTTACGAGAAGAAGCAGTTCCACGACATTGAATGGAGCTGTGGTACAGAAGAAAGCACCTCCACCCCCTCCACCTTCGCGCGCGAAAAAGCCGCCACCGCCACCGCCTATGAAAAAGCCTATACTCAGTGCTGGTGAGGCATAGGGTCGCCTCACATCAAACATCACAGATGGTTCTAGGAGGCTGGGGTGGATATATCGCAATGGGGTGGCATAACATTTTCATTTTGCGAGGCTTTTGAGGCCATGGCTACTATCCACTTGCCTGCGGTGGGTGGCAGTGGATGATCGGTTTGCTATTGATGATATTCATTGGCATGTAGTAGTATGCGGCAGCATTTGTATTTATAGTTGTGCAAAGATGCTCTCGATAATCCTTTGGTTATATGTAGGGTAAACTACATCGTCTATAGATGCATAAATGTCTTAAGCGTGCATATTGGATTGTCGGTGTCAACTGCGTCGAAGCTTTATATAAATGTGAAAAGGTGAAGATATGATATGAAGGCAGAGTTGGGTTCATCTGGGAACTCATGCGACTGGCAAAAGAGAGAGATATATATATATCTTTGTTGGTCTCGCTATCCGTTCACCCCAGGGACTTGACAAACCAAGCTGCATTGAGCCCCTCTGGATACCTAGGTAATCTACGAGTCAGATGGTCACCAACGAGCCCGCCTGATAGCCAGGCGTTCGAGGTTCTAGGGCTGTTGTCGAAAGATTTTTAATGGGAGTCTCAGTTTATGTATTGTCCGTGTTATGCCAGCAGCGTGAGTCTTCTGGAATTGAGTAAGAAGCCTACTACGCAGATACCCCAATGAATGAACATATAGTATGAAAATAAGGCCATATTCTTGGCTAGAACTGTTTGATTGCTTGTTGTGCTAGTACCTACTACTCCGTAAACCATCTCTGATACCTTGATATGGAGGCTGTCAGTAGTACCTAGTGATGAACTAGTCTAAACTAAGGATAGCTGAAGCTCAAACCAGTAACTAACCGGCGCCTTCCTATTTGCCTCCTCAAAACCCAAACACGGCTGGCGGGACGGATGAGTCAGCATGGCATCACGTGCGGGCGGCACGAAATCTTCTTCCAACGTCTCGCCGCCTACCTCTCCTCGTTACAGGCAAAGGCTGAGCACAGCCAGTTTCCCCGACCAGCACGGAAAGTCGCGAAAGCCCCGTCCCCTCCATCTCCATTTCATCCATACAGGCCTTCCACGCGCCCTTTTCAGCGCGACCCCTCCATTTGGGGTCTCCATCACCCATTTAGTATCGCGTTGGGCCACTCCCCCTTCCCTTATTACTGAATCTTTCCGATCGGTCGCCTACCGCCCTGTATCTTCCCACCTCAAAACATCACGAAACTTGTCGCCAAGGTCCAGATACAGGCCGCTATCAGTCGCATCCATCGATACAAGGCGCCCACTCCTCCTTTACGTCTGTAAATTGGCGCGCTTCATCGCCCTATAGCTGCGAATTATCGTTCACTCTTACCACTCTCGTTTTCCACGTGTTATCCTAGCTGCTTGGTCGCGGGTCTTGTCGCATCTAGGTCAACCCCAACGTGTTTACTCCGCCTATGAACAGTAAAACCACGCGCTAAATAATGGCTTCCCTCCAGTCAGCACCAAACATGACGACTGGGAACATGAGCCTGCCGCCAAATTTGACGCAGCAGCATATTCAAGAGGTGTTCCAGGTACGTCACCTTGCCATTTTTTTTTCGCGCTGGGCTCCTAACCCCTACTTGTTCTTTTGTTTTCTTCGTTCCTCTCCTCTATCAATTGTCTTTGGCAATGTCTACTTCAATTGATCCCTCTGACAGTCGCATAGAAGTACAAGCAGATGCAAGAGCAAGGTGTCCGCCATGATGACCCCGAATTCCTGAAAGCTCAGCACCTTCTTTCGGCCGTTCAGCGACAGCAATTTTTCCAGAAGCAAAGACAAGTTGCACAGCAGCAGCTCCAGGCGCAACAACGTCAACAAATCAATGGTGCCGGCCCAGACTCTGCCGCCGCCAATGGTGTCAATGGTAAGCCTGCCACTCTGACTGGCTAGAATCTCTATCTAACCTTGTCATTGGCAATCCAGGTCGAACGAACTCAGTGTCTTCTGGTACCGGTGCCGTTCAAGATGCCACTTCCACCCAAGCAGGTAGTCAGCAGCAAGCCCTAGGGCAGGCTGCATCTCAGAAAGGAGCGCCTGTTGCTAGTGGTAGTTTTTCGGCTGAGCAGCTGGCCACGCTTAGAAATCAGA